CGCCGCATGTCCAAGTTGTGTGTTATTGAGTAAGGAGCACACAATCAAATTGAGCAGACGCGGAGGGCAGAGGAAGTTCAAACTGTAACTGAGTTTCTGCGTCTTTCTGCGACTTGTTTTCACTACTTAATACTTCTGAGAAGCAAGGTTTATTTTTTTGACAGACAGAGTTTGCACTTGAAGGTGAATTGAAATGACTCACAGTTAAAATCCCCCTGAAATATTAGCACATGGAGTTACTTTAGTTTCTCACTCGTGTTTCTGTGGCTCCGTCGGTGATTCATCTTTTACAAGTTAGTGAGAATTTCCCCGCTGCTTTCCACCTGGTTACAGATGACAGCCGTGCCTAAATCCCACCCACATACCCAGCACTAAATAACCAGTGATCACTCTGTTATTAGCTATCACCTTAATCCTGACACTCCCAGCTTCATCTTCTTGTGACAGCCGGCTTTAACCGTAATTGACAAACTTCAGAAACGTGGCCGCCTGCACATATTTCTCTCATGTTAACTCTGCTGCTCGCCGAGGTGTGTGTTACTGTGTAATAGACGCTATTAATAAAGACAAACCATGCGTGACTCCTCTTTCTCTCTGCAGCCGCCTCTCATGGCTGACTCCTTACCGGGGATTCAGTTGTGTGAGTTTGGATCAGTCTAATCACATTTGTTTAATTAAGCACAGCTAATAGACTCTCCAGGAGATAGGGTGTCTCACTGTGACGGCAGCGCCGCGTTGAGATGCATGTCAAACACAGAGGCCTGATATATCACCGCGGCTCCCTCAGCTCTGTGCTGTTTGATGTGACCCACATCCCACCATGTTTGCAAGCCTGACACAAACAAGCTGGAGGTTAAACGATGAAGGTTACAGACAGACTGAGAGAGAAGAGGATGGATGGATGGATGTCAGCGTTATGTCTAACGAGAACGTATAAAGAGTGCGTTCAACTTTTTGACATCTTACAGGATTTCAGCTGCTCAACAGTTTGGAGTCTTCTTTGTTGCATTTTTCATTTCATGATGTAAATGTATTTAGCGAATGATAAGCAACAGGACTCTACAGGACTGTTGTAACACATACAGAATGTGGTTTGTGTATAAGTTGTGGGTTAGCTCCCCACGCCATGGGAACTTAGACATCCCCGTACCATCGTGGACGCCGGCTTTTCAGCTGTGGGTTAACAACAAGCTGAGTGATCGTGCTGCTCTTCAGAACAGAGGCCAAAGCATCCATGATTTCCAAGAAGAACATCAGGTCTCACCCCCAAATTCCACCGCATGTGGAACAGCGGCAATTTTCTACTGGATTTGTTTGTGAGGTGAATTTTGCGGCGAATTTTGGACAGCGGGAATCGCGAGGACTCACAAGAACCTGCAAATTCACATGCAATTGTGCTATAACGAGTTGTCTCTACGAAGACAGCCCTCTTTGCACAGTCTATTTTTAACCCTCATTTGATTGACAATGGTTTCTGGGAGTGAATTCAGGCCCATGCAGTGACTTCCACTACAGAGTCATGCCTCAGTTCTACCCGAGACCCAAAAGATCGCAACCATTCAGGATTGTTTTGGGGTTTTGTTTCTCTCATACAGAGATTTTTAAAGATTCTCTGACTCCTTCATGATATTTTGTGCTTCAGGTGATAAAAGGAACCAGAGTTGAACTGAGACTTTATCATAACTTTTTCAGGTAACCTCCTCAAGTTTGGTAAAGTGAGGCTCTTATAGGAGTATATTTCAGTTGATTTGTTTGGTGGACGGTCTGAATCACAGTTGGATTGACAGGTGTGTTTGTTGAATGCGTTTCAGAAACACCTACCTGTGGAATGAAACCAGTAACTCTCCCCTCAAATCTGGGCAGCTGACGCTCTCCACACGCAGTGATACTCTGACTGACACCGAGCTGCCACAGCTGATGGGAGAGTTCACTCCACTCAGTAATTACTCCAGTGGGCTGATTTCTTTCGCCCAGCTGACTGACATCTCATTAACATCTGGAGGCGTGTGCGCTTTGGAGGCGCCGCCGAGGGTCAGCTTTTATTGTTCTGATTGGCTCTCATCTCCACTGTCCTCCTTGGCAGCGTGCAAATGAGGATTAATAGAGTTTCATTTGAGAGGTGAGGCTTCCAAGTACTTCTATTTCCAAACTCAAAGAGAAGGGAGAGAGAGAAGGAAAAGGCAGCAAATCCACTCTTCAGTTTCAATTTCTGCCAAGTGATCAGAGGAACAAAAGTCTGAAAATCCAGCGCTTACCCCGGATAAAGCAGACAAGTGTTCGTCTCCTCAGGAATCCTTGTTAATCTTTAAAAGGTGAGCAATTATAAAAGAGCTACAGAGGAAAGTTGCAAAGGCTAACCACAAAACCAGAGCAGCACAAAGTGGCTAAGCATTCCAGATTTAGACGAGACGTCTGTCTTTTTGCTCGTGGGCATCTTTCTGAGACAAATTACTTTCACTAGTCAGTAGCCTGTAATTAAAATATACCCACTTGATGGAGAAGCTGCAGTGTCTCTTTATTTAGTTATGGGTTGGAAAGATTAATTCTGGGGTGTATAACCCTTGTAATTTTCCAAGTGCTTTTTATTGTTTTCAGATGGAAAAAAGTGCAGACGATTGAAACGTCTCCGCTCAAGGTCTGCTTTGATTTGTTTACACTTCACACACATTCGGGCTCGTTTTTTTCTTCTTCCTGTGCCCTCTTTATGCTTCAGCAGCATGGATGCACATTATCAATTTGCATTAACGTTTTGGAACTGGTCCACAGCTCTCACACGTCGCTGCCGCCGCACAGATAATCTCCTCTGTGCTTGAATGCAGAGGTCAGGGAGCGCTGCTTTTAAATGTAGAGAATCAGAAATTTTGGCACAGAGACGAGTCTTCCAGAGAGAGGTCATCATTTGTTGCCCTCCTCTTCTTTTTCTCTCTCTCGCAGTCTTTGCTCGAAAATGAGACTCAGCGGTCCCCCTTGTGGCCAAAGCGAGAGCTGCAGCACATGTGGGGCTTTCGGGGAGGCAGCAACATGAATTGTTGGATAAAACACAGGCTGCATTGAAATCACCAGCTGTTGTCTGTAATGATGAAAACATCCCTAACTTAGCATGAATTTATAATTATGCAGAAAGCAAATCTGAATCTCTTTACTGGAACTTTTCAATTCCCATTCAGTCTCCCAGGAGAGAGAGAGGCAAGAGAGCCGGGTGTGAATCATATGCAGAGATTGTGTGTGTGTGTGTATGAGTGTGTGTGTCAGTGTGTGTGTGTGATTTTTTTCACTGTCTTCTTTTTTAAATGCAGATCTCAGTCGCTTCATAATGAAACTTTTGTGGAGACCCAAAACCACAACAAATGAACTTTTCTGAGAAGTATTTGTACACATCGGCTTACAATAAGAGCTCCAGCCCTCCTGGATGCTCTCTGACAAAAACACACTCTCACTGCGGACAATCACTTCAATTTTCCTGATTCCTCAGACCTTTTCTTCCAGCTCTCTCTCTCTTTCTCTCTTGCCTTCATTTGTTCTCTTGCGTTGGCTGCTTTTAGCTCCTTTTTTTTCCACGCTGATTCTATTTTCAAAGGGACGTGTAAATTAAGTGTAAATGTAAATGGATCAGTGTGTTATTTATGCTAAACCCTGCAAGAGAAACACATTCATATTGTAAGTAAACAGCTGCATTACCTGTGGGCTCCTGCACACCTGCTAGTGCAGAGCAGTTAGCCTGTGTGCAGATGCAAACTGTCAATCATTTCAGGCACACACACACACACACACACACACACACACACACACACACACACACACAAAAGAGAGAAGCATACACAAAACAAATGAGTGTAAATGTGTGCAAGGGTGCACAGAAATCTAAAAAGAGACGCATGACACAAATTTATACATGCATTCAAACCACAATAGGTGACACACACACACACACACACACACACACAATCACTCTTGTATTACATGTGCAGGAGCCACAAAAACACACTCTGACGCACAACCACAGGGAGAATTTCTCATGAGGATTTTTTCTTTTTGTTTTTCAAATCTATTACTAAAATAAAATTAAAACAAAAACAAGCAAAAGAACAAAAACAAAACAGAAATTTCAGTTGAATTTCTCCGAAAACCTGAGGATTTTTCCTGTCTAATATTAGACTTCTGCAGGGGAGAAAAAAGCAGCATATATTCTTCACTTTTCCCTCCGCTTGTCAGCAGAGTTACAGCTGAAAATCAATTCAATTAGCACAAATACATTTCGACAGTGTGAGGGCGCAAATAAAAGCTTTTTTCCCCGCGTTATCTTCCGCTGTCCTGTGTGCCTCGGCTGATTCCGCTCCGGGCTGTGTTCTTAAAGATGTCCAAGAAGAGAGAGAGAGAGAAAAAAAATCAAATTATTCTGCTCTCCACGTAAATTTTCACAAATTTGCATTCCTAAAGCGTTGATTTTTATTTATAATTTTTTAGGATAGGCCCGGCGGTGGATTGTGAAATGTGATGGAGAGGTTGAATATATGTGTGTGTGAGTGTGTGTGTGAGTGTGTGTGATGGCCGGAGTTCAGCTAAGTTCCAGCATCTAAAAGCAACAGCTTACTCTGATAAAATAAAAGTGAGTTAATTATTATTTCTCAATCAAAGTCTTGATTAGGTGGAGAAAATAATGAGGAAATAGAGGCAGACTGTTGAATAAGTGTCTCCCTTTTTGTCGACAAACTTTCTCCTTCTTGAAAACTTTGATTCGTTGGAGTAGATTTTGGCGCGCTCCAACTCTTTTCAATGAGCAGCTCTGCGCGTCTGTGGAAGCACCTGATGTAAAGCAGACTATAGCGGGGCTTTATGGTTTCATATTCCGCTCAGGTGTGCGGGGAGAGGAGCTGGCAGGTTGCCCTCCTGTTAAAACAACACGCTTTGACTCTATACGGCGCAAAACGCACAACGCTGCGCCCAATCGGCTATTTAGCAGACTTTTTAGCCTCTTCTTCTTCTTCTCTTGACACGCAAACATGTGGCGTGTAAATATGAAAATGAATGAGTGTGAGAGCTCTCCTGGCACTGACTTCTCTCTCTCTCTCTCCTCCTCTCTCTCTCTCTCTCCCTCTCTCTCTCTCTCCGTGTCCCCGGAGAGCAGCGCGTCGGAGAGGAGCGGCTGTAAAAACCAAAGTGGGGCAATGAGACAAGCTGCGCCACAGCTGGCAAATCATCGATTTGAGCATCAGAAACGGGGAGGGGCGGTTCGTTTACCTGCCACCCTCTCAAAGCAGCCCTTCCTCACATGCCGCTACTCTCCTCTCTCCTCTACTTCACCCCCGCTGCCCGCAGCGCACGGTTGCTCACATTTCTGCGCTCCATCCGCCGCTGCGTGCGCGCTCTGCAACTTCAACCTCCGCCTGTGCGGTTTCTACAAGACGACTTCCCCCCCACACTCCACCTCCTACTTCTCAAGCACAGGACTTTTGACTTTTTTAAAGCACTTTTTCCTCCCACAGAGCAGTCGCCTATTTTTGGATCTCTCGTGGTGGAGCAGTGACAAGAGGTTGCTCAACTTTTGATGGAAAACAAGAGGTCCGGCGACTGCTGACTTTAAAGGTACGCTCCCATCGTGTCAATCTCTCTCTCTGATATCACCCTCTCTCTCTCACTCTCTTTTTTTTAAACTTTCTCTTCATTTGTTTAAATCACTTTAATTTTACTGCATGACTCGTAAAAATGAGGATATAGAGGAATAAAGCCGCCTGTCTCGCACGAATTAAACGCACACCTCGCAGACATATCTCCTAAATCACTTAAAACCCACACACACTCAAAGTGGCTGCTCAATTTAATATTTCATAAAGTTAAAAAAAAAGCAGGATGAATGCCATGCTTAATGGTAAATATAAATGCACGCATTGAGAACTTTTTTTTTTACCTTCTAATTTTTAATGTGCAGAAAGAGGCCTGTGTCATTTCTGCACGAATAAGCAAAGCACTCGTGATATTGGCGGGGTTAAGTACATCCATCTCCTCTAATTCATTTAACAACTTATTCAGTGAGCGCAGCAGAGGGGCAAGAAGTGATGCTGCCACTGCTGCAGCTGGACTCATCAATTCAGGGACTATTTGAGGAGGATCAAGTTACAATTTTAAAACCAAAGGATGAAACTGAAAACCATCAAATTTAGCATCCTGGCATGTCATTTAAAGCAGGCCTGCACTTGATGTAATTAAGTGTGTTGTTCTCAAAGCGCTGACATGTCTATTAGGAGTGCTGCAGCCCAACTGCCCATCTAGTTTTACTACTTTTTATTAGGCCATTAGAGCCACTTCATTTATTCTCTCCCCATACTTAATATTTAATTACGTGTCAACTTGCTTCTGCACTTTTATGGCTGTAGCATGATGTGCTACTCTTAAAAAAAAAAGAAAAAAAGAAAAACTCCCCCCTCTGAGCGCGGTGTTTTAAAAAGCAGGTGAAGAATTATTGCTTTCTCTCTGCCTGACTTGGTGTGAGGCATTCAGGTAGATCAGGCGTCGTAGTAGAAATGCTGTTCGGTCTGTATTGTGGCTTTTGTCACAGTGCTGATAAAGTAATTTCAGGTACAACCAGAAATGTGTGTGTGAATGTGTGTGTGTGGGGGGAGAGAGCAGTTATGAGAAGATGTATTGCCATCTTAAAAGTGTGTGGGCACTGATGTTCTGTGGTTTACAGGTTTTAATGGTTTCACTCTCTGCTCTTTTTAAAAGAGCTGACATTTCACACACAGACAGACACGACCACTGACTCTCTCTCTGATATTTGAGATTCTTTAAATATAGAAATCAGCACAAATACACTCGTGAAGACGCAGAAAAGACGCTGTTTTTCCAAATTTATTCTGCAGATTTAACTATGTGCGTTGTTAAAGACAGAAAAAAACGTGATAAAAGCGGGTGTAGTTTGTAATAAATCAGAAACCTGATCAGATAATTAAATAGCAACAAGATTATCTGGGTGTAATCTGCAGCCGTCAGCGTCACTGCTTGTTGTTTATCACCTTGCTGTTGTTGTCAGGTTGTTCGCTTTTCTCCCTCACTTGCGATTACGAGGTCAAGGCTGGCACCTCTGCATGGAAAAAAAAAAGCAGAAACAGGTTATGGCAGAGCAGCCGGTGAGTTTCTCTCCTTTTATCTCGAGCAGATCTGTGGCAGCTCAAAGTGCTGTGGCTAATCTGGTCAGTGCCTCTGACGGCAGCGACACACAAGCTCTTTTCCTGTCTCAGACTGCCATGTGTCACTTCTTGCAAAAAGTCCTCGTCTTGAGACCGTTACAGCAAAACTTCTCGGTTTTACTCCTCACTCCTTTGCCTTCATTATAACCTCGTTTTCAATCAGTTTGCGGTTGTAAAAGTGGCACACACACACACACAGACAGACAAAAAAACACTCTTTCTCAGCGGCGTGCTGATCTCATTGGCAAAAATGTCTCCTCTTAAACTTGTTTGGCAGGAATGATAAGAATCAGAGAGGACGGCGCGGCGGCGGTGGAGGAGCTGTGTGTGACTGCCAGGTCACACACATCCAGCAGTAAAGCTTAAACATCTGTCACAGCTTATTAGTGTGTAATTAATCCCTTTGAATGTGCTGTGTGGTGTTCACAGCTCTTACAATAACTCGACTGTGATTTACAATTAGGAGGCGATCTGGGAAAACACCTCAGTATTTCCACCTCTCTACCTTTCTTCTTTAAACTTACAGGTTTAACCTCCATGTACTCTCCTCTCCCCCGCTTTGGGTTTGCTTTTGTTTTCATTACAACTAATCGAAACTAGTGCACTCTGCGTTTACTGTACTGTACGATTAAATGGCAGGAAATCGGCTTTTAATGTTCACAGATATGGAGGAAAACCTTTCCTTTAAAATGATAAACGACACGTTTGCGTCACAAGTCTTTTAATCGACACTTCAGGTTGTAACTATAAAATCTGCAAAACCAGTTCGACCCCCCTGCGGAGTAGAGCAGATAATTTAAGCACGAGCACAGCAGCCGCAGGTTGGCGTGTGACGCTCTCACTCAGTCTCAGGTTGTCAGACAGGAGTGAGAGCAAAGACAAAGTTTGTCCTGAGACCCAAAGAGACCAATTAGTCTGCACGCTGGAGAGCACAGGTTTGGGATTTATTCTTTCGTTGTTTTCTGTCGTCGTGCTCGAAATAACACGAGAATGATTCACGACTGCAGCACAAAACTCAATTTGACTCCGAAGGTTGCAAAGGTCATGGTTTTGTGATTGATATCAGTGATGCTGTTTTGGTAAAATGTTTTAACAGATGATCAGTTTTATTGGAGAAAGAAAATTAGCGTGTAAAGTCGAGTTTAGTCAGCGCAGAGAGAGAAGAAATCTGAATGTTTGAGCACAAATTTCAAGAATCAAATCAAAATGTCGATAATTTCTTATAAATTCCCCTGAAACCTGTGCTGAATTAAAAACTCCTTATTTGACGTTATAATACACGTATAAAATAGTTTTTCTGTCGAGCGTCTGCAGGTAATCCAGAGTCAAGGTCTCTACCTCACTCTGCTGAGACTGATATCTCGGCTAAAACCATTAATCGTCTTCCCTTTACCACCTCGATAATTATCGCTGTAGCAAAATAACAGCTCAGCAAACAGTGAAATTATACCTGTGGTAGGGAGCAGAGTAAATACCTGTTTAGCTGCCAGCAAATGTATTTATTAGACTGTCGCCAGTAAATAAGAGGCCTGTCTCGTTTTTTAATGTGTGGCTCTTTGGGGATTCCACACACACCACCACACACACTCCCCACACATCCCTGCTCTGTATGAAATAGCTCTGTTATGATTGCTAATAGAGGAGAAAGATAACAATGATTCCCAGCGTTTTTTTTTTTTCTTCTTTTTTCTTAATAACATGTTGCAACTAGTTTTGAAAAAAAAGAAAACGCTCGATGTGTTAATAGGGACGGCTGCATTCCTGGGCTGAAAAATGTAAGAGCCCCCCCCCCTCCCTCCTCACAGACAGTTTCAGACATACCACCCTGGGTGAGTGCTTAGTGTGTGATTCGGGAGTTACAGCTCATTTTGTCATTATCTGGAAAGTTCTTTATAAAAAAAAAAGAAGAGGAAAAAAGAGAGGAGGGGGGTTATGCTGCCCCAGCATGTTGGGCTGCATTTATTCTGGCATATGCTTTGCATACTGTTGATCCAGATTCCTTGGCTTAGTGATAAAAGCGTCACATTGTTTTTGGGTCCTGACAATCAGCCCCGTTTGTCGGATGGGTTGGCGTGTCCTCGCCGGGAGGAAAATAAAAAACCCTAAAGTCCGTCACGTCGGTTTTGTCACGCTTTTACAGAATGACATCCCTCCAATGTTCGATTTCCTGTTGTTGCTCTTGTTATTTAGCGGGGCTTCATGCTACCATGGCAAATATCATTTAAGAAAGCATATACATCTAAGTTTCCACAATCCAAATCACATTATTACAGGTCTCAACATATGTTTAAATTTTTAAACATTTCTTCAGAGGAAAAAAAAACCTCATTGTGTTTTATTCCGATGCTTGTCTTTATCCAATCTGTGTAGGTTTTTCTCAGTCCTTTGTTCCAAGAGAAAAAAAGGAGCGATTTAGAGGAAAGCGCATCCGCTAAGATCAGGTTGTTAATACCCACCCACATACTCCAATGAAACAATTTCAACAGATACTGATTCTCCCTCTCTCTCTCTCTCTCACACACACACACACACACACACCCTGCCTTATCAACTGTTTTGTTCGTCAGTGGATGGATGATGCATCCTTTGACAAGGGATTAAATATGCAAAGAAAAATATGTAGATAAAGAAACGGCATCTTTAAGTCTGCACCTCTCCTTCAATACTTCTGCCTAAGCCTCCATATTAAGAGCCGCTCTCCCCACATGCTCACATCCCATCTCTCCTTTCATCTCAGCCCAGCGCCCACTTTCTCACACACTGAGGCCACTAACACCCTCCCATCACCTGCCTTCATTTCTTTAACACTCCCGAGAACTCCCCACGAGGCCCGGCTGCTGTGCCCTTCACCGCCACCACGCCACAGGACGTGTCGACCTTTCTCACCACGTCCAGTCTGTCTCAGTGTCTCGTCTTCCTCACTCTGAGAAGTGTTTATCCATGAGGCTGAAATGAGGAGGAATCAGTCAGTCATGTGCAGACAGGAGTCCAGTTAGGGGTGAGGACGAGACGTTTCTTTGACTGCTGAATGACTGATTGGTCGTATAATTTCATAAAGCAGACCAGACAGGAATGAGGGTTTGATGCCTCTTTGAATCTTTAATAAAGATCCTAATGAGACAGACGGATTCAGACCTGAGATGACCCTCCTTGGTTGTAGTTTCAGCTGATGATAACCTGTTGACTCGAGAGCCCACTGTGGTGTCAGAGTCCCTGATCTAAGGCCTCAAAGGCCTTGTCGTTACCAAAACACGCTCACTGCCGCCGTGTGAGGCGTGCATGTACATGGGAGTTGTTATGTGTATCGTGGAACACCACAAATCTTTCTGGTGGGTGTTGAGAGTAGATAGAGGGTTACAATG